CCTGACAGTATACCTGCCAAAACAGACACAGGAACTATGTGAACATAAAAATAAAGCACTTTTTTAAAAAAATTAAGGTCAGATATAAATAATTGAAGTAATAGTCATTGTTCATGAGTAGGTAAAGCCAACATAATAAAAAATGACAATTTTACCCAACTACTCTATTAATTGAATGCTATCCCAATTAAATCATAAAAAATTATCTTACTAAGTTAGAAAAAATAATATCAAAGATCATTTGGAAGAACAAAAGGTCAGGAATTGCAATGAAACCAAGGGGAAAAGATGTAAAAGAAGTAGATTCAGCAGCATCAGGCCTTAAACTATATTATAATGTGAAAGTATTGTTGAAGTGTAAAATGGATAATTTTGATTATTTTATATTAAAAATTTTCTTCTATAAATAAAACTAATGTAGCCAAGAACAGAAGGAATGCAGAAAACTGGGGGGAAATTTTCATAGACAATCTCCCAGATAGTATGTGATTGTGTTGGAATATTGCTGTGGTATAGGAAATGATGAGTTGGTTGATTTTGAAGAATATGAACTTCAACCTATGAAGGAAGAGGCTATCCACCTTCAGAAAAACAGATCGTAAGTGGAAATACACATAGTACAATCTTACATATAAGTATATGAGTGTATATGTGTATGTTTATAGATATTTATATGTGCATATATGTATATGTATATGTATATGTATGTATATGTGTGTTTATCTGTGTTTAGTTATAGACTTCTTTAGGGGGAGTGATGGAAGGGGAAAAATAAAGTGAAAAATGTATAGCAGAGAACAAAGGAAGACCTATAAGGAAGTGAAGAAAAACTGGGTAGCTTGGGAAACAATGTATTTATTACAGTATTTATTATATAGGTTTTCTTGAAATGGAAATTTATTGTTTTATATTGAATCCTCTCTTATGGTCTGCTGTGTACATGGCAATGCTTTTTTTATTTTCTCATTTTGTATGTAAAATTAGTGGAAAAAAAAATTTACAAAAGAAAGGAAAACTGCCCTGAAATCCTACAACCAGAGGGTAAAATAGAAATTGAAAGAATCTACCAATCACGTCCTAAAAAAGATCCCAAAATGAAAACTCTTAAGAATATTGTAGCTAAATTTCACAGCTTCCAGGTCAAGGAGAAAATATTGCAAGCAGCCAGAAAGAAAAAATTTTAATATGGAGTCATAGTCAGGATAATGCAAGATTTAGCAGATTCTACATTTAAAGATCAAAGAGTTTAGAATATCATATACCAGAGGGCAAAGGAGTTAGGCTTGCAACCAAGAATCACTTACCCAATAAAACTGAATATAATCCTTTAGGAGAAAAAATAAGCATTCAATGAAACAGAGGACTTTCAAGCATTCCTGATGAAAAGACCAGAGCTGAATAGAAAATTTGACTTTCAAGTATGACTCAAAAGAAGCACAAAAAGGTAAACAGGAAAGAGAAACCATGAGGGATTCAGTAAGGTTAAACCATTTACATTCCTAAATGGGTAAATGATACTTGTAACTCCTAAGAACTTTATCACTATTAAGGCAGTTAGAAGGAGTATACATAGACAGAGGGCACGACTGTGAGTTGAATATGATGGGACAATATCCTAAAGAATAAAATTGAGGTGAAAAGGAGGAATACACTGGGAGAAGCGGGGAAAGAGAGGTATAATTGGGTAAATTATCTCACATAAAAGAGGAACAAAAGAGATTTTATAGTGAAAGGGAAGATAGGGAAGGTAGGTGAGAGCACTTGAATCTTACTCTCATCAGAATTGGTTCAAAGGAGGAATAACATACACATTCAGTTGGGAATAGAAATCTATCTTACCACACAAAAGAAGGAAGGGCAGACTGGAGGAGGCAATGGTCAGAAGAAAAACACTTTTGAGGATGGACAGGGTGGAAGGAAACAGAGTAGGATGAATAAAGGAGAAAATAGGATGAAGGAAAATACACAGTAATCATAACTGTGAAAAAAATTTCAGCAAGTACGTCTGATAAAGGCCTCATTTTTCAATTATGTAAAGAACTTAATCAAATTTATAAAAATAAGAGCCACTCCCCAATTGATAAATGGTCAAAGGATATGAATAGGCAGTTTTCAAACAAAGTAATCAAACCTACCTATAGTCATATGAAAAAAATTCTCTAAATCACTATTGATTGAAGAAATGCAAATTATAACAATGCTGAGATACCATCCCACATGTATCAGATTAACTAATATGACAGAAAAGGAAAATGACAGATGTTGGAGGGGATGTGGGGAAATTTAGATACTAATGCACTGTTGGTGTTGTGGACTGATTCAACCATTCTGTAGAGCAATTTGGAACTATGCCCAAAGGGTTATAAAATCACATATACTTATTGACCAGCAATAACACTACTAGTTCTGTATCCCAAAGAGATAAAAAAAAAAAAACAAAAAGGAAAAGGACCTATATGTACAAAAATATTTAAAGCAGCTCTTTTAGTAGTGACAAAGAATTGGAAATTAAGGAAATGTCCATCAATTGGGGAATGGCTGACCAAGCTGTAGTATATGATTATTATGGAATGTTATTGTATAGTAAGAAATTACATACAGGATGCTCTCAGAAAAACCTGGAAAGACTAACATGAACTGATGCAAAATGAAGTGAGCAGAACCTGGACTACAGTGTACACAATAACAGGAATATTATACAATGATCAGCTGCAAATGACTTAGCTCTTCTCAGCAATACAATGATCTGAGGCAATTTCTAAGGACTTACGATGAAGAAAATACTATCCATCTTCAAAGAAAGAACTGATGGAGTCTGAATGCAGGTCAAAGCATACTTTTTTTTTTACTTCATTTTTCTTGGGGGTTTTTTTGGTATATGTTTTCTTTCACAATATGATTAGAATGGAAATATGTTTTGCATGACTGCACATGCATAACCTATCAATTTGCTCAATTTCTCAATGAAAGGAAAAGGAGGGAGGGAGAAAGAGAATTTGGAATGCAAAGTTTTAAGGAACAAACATTAAAAATTGCTTTTATAGGTAATTGGGAAGAAAATAAAATATTAAATAAACACAAAATTTAAATATAATATTTTTTTAAAAAGAAAGATATATGTTGGATTTATCTCTACTCAAAAAGAAAAGCAAGTTCTAAATAGTAGAGGTTTGTTTGCACTTTCATATATAATGACCTCATTTTCTAGAATATATAAAGAAATATTCATATTATTTAGTTTTTGTTAAGTTCAGAAATTGTTACAATTCAAATGGACATGAGTAAAACCATTGACTTGAAAACACTCAAAGTAAGAAAAATGTAAGAAAGGCAAATAAAGACAGTGATCAAAAAAAAAGTAATCAGTGAAATAAAATCTCATGTTTATATGTGTATAGAGAGAGAGAGAGAGAGAGAGAGAGAGTTGTTTTGTTATTTTCAAAAAACTTGGACTGAGAAGTTTAAAAAAGTGATCACCAAGGGTCAAAAGGAGGCTAATGCTTTAAAAAGGACATTTAAATAATCAGGAAAAGGGTAAAAGGAAGAAGTAAATTAAGATACAATAGACTAAATTTCAATTTACCTTGTAAGTCTATACTTTTTATGGAAGGGATTGCATAATGATTACATAATCATATGCTTCAGGAAATAAGAAACAAGAAAAAATGGGCTTCTGGGGATATATACTGACCTGAACCTGGGGTGAGTTAAGAAAGGATAGTGATTTTTTTTGGTCTCTCAATATGAGGAGAAATTTGGTAGGGTAAAATATAATCAAAGGAAGAGGGGGTTGGAGGGATTAGGAATGAACTTTAATCCCTGCAGGGGAAGTTCAAGGATGCCATTAAAATCACAACCATATCACAGAGGTGGGGGTAGCAGGAAGGGCGATGTATCTGTCACCAAAAAGAAAGATATGCTATAATGAATTTCTTATGAGTAGAATGAGCACAATGAGGCACTGCCTTCTTTTAAACAAGGGTTGTACCTCTTAAGACTTCAACTCATCCTAGAAAAGGCCATATATAGGTCCCTGGGGACAGCCAGAAGCCAAAATGGTAGAAGGAACATAGAACCAGAAAAGGAATAACATGGCCTTGGGGGCACACAGTGATCATAGTAAGAAAATGGGGTAGAAAAAGTCATCATAATTCAGGAACTATACACCAATGTGATTAATGGTTATTAATGCAAAAAAACTTGAACACCATCCTAGTAAAAGTATCCTAGATATTGGCTATATCTAGCCTGCCCCAAATGAGGCCAAACCAAGCTTTATATCCCATGTAAACAACAACCCTTGGATTCTTAATGATATCCATCATTCATCATGTGCTTTCTCTTCCTCTTTGCAAACCATACCCTCTGCACCCAATTTTCCATATGTCAGTAAATTCTCCTATGGCTCCACTTGGAACGTCTTTTGTCTCCCCAGTCCCTACCACATTCCCTAGCCACAACCCCCCTTTACATATACTCCCTTCTTGTTTGAATAGAAGCTGACTTAGGGCAGGTGTTGTTTTGCCACTGTATTTGTGTAATAAGCACAGTGCTTGGCACTTGGTAAGAGCCGACAAATGTTTTTCATGTATTTGGGTCATTTATTCAGTTGGAAAATTAGGAGGTTGGACTCTGAAATTGCCGTGCCCTTTTCCAGTTCTAAATCCTGTAACCCTACAATCCTATACAAAATCCTATAAACCCCTGTCTTTGGCAAACTCATGATGCCCACAGAGGTCATTATGTAAAATGTCCTAACACACTGATAGGTGGGGGCTGATACTGGGCCAAATTGGGGAGCTCCTAACGTAATCACAGATGAGTAGGTGAGAAGTAGTTAGCCTAGCTAATGTCCCTGATGACAGGGGTGGAGGGAGAGGTGGCAGTGGGTTTGGTTGAGAATGAATCAGGCCACCCCACAGAAAGGGCGTCACCATCCTGAAATGGACAATTAAGTCCAGTATAAAAAGCCCAGCAGCCCAGACAGTTGGTACCCTGCAAGTTGCTTCCATCTCCTTCCTGCTTGTTCCTTTGGCGAACTAGGTAAGTGGGAGCTCAGGCTTGCAAAGACTACAGGTACCTAGATTGCATCAAGGGGTAAATCCAGAAATTAGGGTGATTGGAACAGGAATCCCAAACTGGAGCCAAAAGAACAGGGTTCAGATGATAGATATATCCCCTTTGTAGCTATGTGACCTTAGGCAGGTATGTGGCACCATAGTGCACAGAACACCAAGCCTAGAGTCAGGAAGACCTGAGTTCAAATTTGGCTTCAGACACTCACTAGCTGTGTGAACCTGGACAAGTCACTGAAGCATTGTCTGCCTCAGTTTCCTCATCTGTAAAATGGAGATCATAATAACACCTACTTCTCTGGTTTGGTGTGAAGACAAAATGAGATATTTGCAGAGAACTTAGCTCAGTGCCTAGCACATAGTAGGTACTTCATAAATGTTTATTCCTTTTCCCTTCCCTTTCATCTGCTCCCTTCCCTTAGGCATGTCAGTTGAACTCTCTGAGCCTCACTCCCCTTATCTGTAAAGTGAGGGTGGGGAACAAGATAATTTCTAAGGTCCTTTCCAGCACAGCTCTGACTGTTCTGATACCTAGAATGTGCTGAGGTACCATAAACACCTGGGAACTTCGCTTTCCCCTCCCTTTAAGGCCATCCTTAGGAGAAAAGCTTCCAGGATTGTCTTTCCTGGCTTCCTGTGGGACTTTGGAGCTTAAGACCTCTAGGACTGAGTGCCTCATTGCATTGATGAGGATGAATTGTCCCTACCCCATCTTTCCCCATGACACTGTTTCAAAGGTGAAACAGATGACATGGGAAATAAATTCAAGAATGTTATTCCAGATAATTACTACTGAGGCTTCTTAAAGGAAATAAATGTTTTTCCCCCTCCAGATCAATTAAATTGTGCACCAAGATGTCTCATCTCCTGACAAGCATCGCCACTATCCTGGATGTCTTCTACCAATATTGCGGCCAAGATGAGGAATGTGACACGATGAGCCAAAGCGAACTGAAAGAACTTCTGGAAAATGAGCTGCAATTTATTCTGGAGGTGAGAGTTTTCTGTTACATCCAGCGGGCTGTGACAACAGGCAGGCATTTTTTAAATTTGGTTTTGGTCGTATTCAGCCATGCTTAAAAACAGGCAGCTAAGTGGTATAGTGGGTAGAGTACTGAGAAAGGGAAGAGCTGAGGTCAAATTCTGCTTCAGATAATTATTGGTATATAACCTTGAGCACAGCTTTGCTGTGAACTTGGTATATACTGGTATATAACCTTGACCACAGCTTAAGCTGAGGCTTACCATGTCTCAGCCTCAGTTTCTTCATCTGTAAAATGAAGTAAAGAAGTGTACCTACCTCACAGGATCGATATCAGAAAGTATGTATAAAGTGCTTTGCAATCCCTAAAGAGCTATGCAAAATCCTAGCTCATATTAGTTTCTAATAAGGAGGAAGCAAAAGATTCACATAATCAATATTCCATCTGAGTCCTATACAGGGCACTGTAGAATCTACACAGTAATAATATCTGATGGTTAGTGAGGTAGTGGATAATGGGCTGGAATTGAGCCAATAAGGTCAATATTCAACTCCCACCACTACCTCGTAAAGGCTGTGTGACCCTGTACAAGTCACTCAACCAAAAGGTTTCTAACCTGCATTGGTAGACATAAGAGTTCCTGGCTTGGGAATTGCCAATGCATTGAAAGCACAAATTCTAGAGCAGGTAGGTGGAACAATAGATGGAGCACAGGTTTTGAAGTCAAGAGGAACTGAGCTCAAATCCGAACTCAGACACTTACTAGCTGTATGATCCTGGGCAAGTCACCTAACCTGGAAGGAAAGAAAGAAAGAACACATTCAGGAGTATTTAAAGGTCAAAACAATTAAAGATGAAGAGAAAGCCTATCATATTTACTGACTGGTGATTCCCAGAAGTTGACACAAATTTAGCCTACTGTTTCTGTTGTATTCATTATAGTTTCAAAATCACCAGCTCTATTATTTTCCATAACCTTACTATCCAACAGGACTCCCAACCACTTAATAGTGTTTAGTTCCTAAAAATTACTCTCTGTCCAGTGACAGTGGGATAAGGGTAGGATAGCAAGTACTGGTTAGAGTCGATGTAGGTGCACCAATATGTACCTCAGGACAACATACCTTTAATTACTGTGCTTCAGATTTCTTTGGGTTTCAATGTATTTAAATAATGTGTTGCAGATTTTTATTTTGCACTATTCTATTGTACAGAATCCGGGAGATTGTGATACTGTGGATGTCATCATGCTTAATTTGGATCGAGACCAGAACAGAAGAATAGATTTTACTGAGTTCCTATTGATGATATTCAAACTAACAATGGCATTCAACAAAACTTTTAAGAAGGAGTATCGTCACGGCCACCATGAGGATCTGACTGAAACAGAAGAAGAGGAAGATGAAGAAAAAGAAGAAGATGAGGAAGAAAAATGGGGGGAATCAAAATACAGAAATTCAAGTAGAAAGACCAAAGAGGAAGATGGGACATCCAGAACTGGAAAATCACAGGACAAAAAGAAAATCATGTACAGGTGTGATTTCGGAGAGAGAGAGAAACAAAATTCTCAACCTAACTCAAAGAAAAAAGGCTCAAAGAAAGCAAATCATGGGTCGATTTTAAGCAAATCAGGAAAGAGAAATGAAGATAAACATGAATGCAGCTCAAGCAAAAAGGGAGAAAGGAAACGGAATTCAAGGACAAGGCACACCACAGTAAAGGGCGGAGAAACATATGAAACTGACACTGAGATTTCAAATGAACAGGGTGAAAATAGATGGAAGAGAACTCAAGAAAATGGAAGTAAGAAAGCAGAAAATGACATGACAAGACAAGGTCAATCAGTAACTTTTGAAGGAGAAGAGGAAAAGTATGAAGGCCAGAGACATGGATCTAGTTCAGGTGGAAGGT